GAAAGGGTCAGGGATGACTCGTCCTGCCAGCTGTCATGGCCTACTTCTACGAGTATAAGTAGTAGAACAGCGCAAGCTAAGTATCAGAGGTGAAAAATCTGGCAAAACGGACCATCTACATGAGAGATGAAGAATTATTCAGTAAGCAGTATAGCACAAGGAACGGAATCAGACGTCAATAAGGTAAGGTAAGACGTGAACATCTCTAAGGCTGTAGCTTATGGGAAATTGATTGCAGGCAAGAATGCCGAGAACTTACACAGTCAGTTCTCACTGAGCTCACATCCGCACAAGGAGGAGCACTTGAAAGCTCTAATGTTGAAGTAGCCAACTTACACAAGGAAAAATGCATTGCTGGGCATTGAATAAATGTTAACATCAAATGTCAGGGATGACTCGCTCCTGCCGACGATCGGCCCACTTCAACCAGTGGTCTTGCTCGGTGTTGGGACCACGTACCGCCCTCCCGCCCCTGAACAGGGTGTCAATTATGCGGAAGGTTTCGGCGCCGATGGCCTCTGGGGCTGGCACGAGTACACGCGGCACCCCGAGCTTCTCGACCACACCGCCCCCTTCATGGCCTGGGCTCACCTTCCGACGCGAGAACAAAAGGACCACTCAATATTGTACCGCCGCGCGTCCAGGCAGGACTGCGCGCCATTTCCGGATGAAGCTGTGGAGGGGAACGAGAAGTTCGAAGGGAGGAAAAAGCTGACGAAGCGGAAGTTGGGCATGGGCACGACTAACGGGATGTACAGGCTCACTGACAACCTGTACGAGGATCTTAAGAGGCGCTATACCACCCTACGCGAGCACTGCGACCTTGCAACGCGCCTCTTGACACTGGCATCGAAGGAATGCATGGACGGTGTCAGCCCCAACAGCATTATACGCGTCATCCTGGCGAATGTGCGCGAACCCGTCCGCGAGTACCTCGACATCGCGCACGCCTGCGAACGCCTTCGCTACGGCCGCATCGCGGCCTTCCAGGAGTTCGATGTTTGTTTCACTGCGTATCAGCGGGCCCACAACGTCATGCTTGCCTACTTTGATTTTGCCTGCTCGATCCTTCCCCCATCTGTCGCGCCTGGTCTCGCAGAACTTCCCAAGCTCACGTCGAGCGAACATCGCCGCGGAGTCGTGCTGGCGGGCGAGGACATCAAGACCTACATACGCTTCTTCAAGGCCCATCACATTCCAATCTGGGTTTATGCCGCGATGGACACGATCTTGATCCCCGCAGGGAAACTCGCCGCCCCCGATCCTCCTCGCTGCGACGTCTCTAGATGTGCCATTCTCAGTAAGTTTTCGTTTCTGCTTACACCTGGACCCACTGCTAAATCCATGTGCCGTAGACAACTTCAAGCAGAGGTCGCTGCCACTGCGCTGGTATCCCCCGCCGCCTCACTGTCTCTGGGCGATGATCGAGCCCATTGGGCGTGGATACGTCCCGCGTCCGGATCAAGACTCTTTCGAGCTGGGGCAGGAGGCGCAGAAAAAGAAAAAGAGGTTAGAAGGGGCATTAAAAAGTGCGCATTACTCCCCGAGCATAATGACGGACACATTCTGACCCACTTTTACGTTCGTAGGAGAACAAGAAATTCGTGAGGCCAACGAGCGGAAGCTCGAGAACCTCAAGATGATCTTCGGAGATCTCGGCTCTTCCCTCGACCGTTATCGGAAGATGGCAGCGCGTTCGCCAGCCGCGCAACGCTATTTCGCCAGCAAGATCAAGCCACGACCAACTTGGGCGCCACCCATCACCAGCAAGTACATGGTTGCACTCGACGGTGCCATGGGACACATTGATTTTCTCACACGCCCGCTCCACCACCCTATCATCGACACGAGGCACCCCAACTTCTACTTGGAGGCACCCAAGATTCCGCGCGAGCGATTGGATGCTCTGCTCGAAGTCCAGCGCAAGGAGCTGGTGCTGAGGACGTGGGTCCCGCCGTTGTCCGTGTTCACCAATCCCACCAATTGGGCGAAGACTGTCGAGCTGGTCTGCAACGCCGTCACGCTCCTCCCGGTTATGCTCCAGCGTATCTTGGTGGCACGCTACTGTGGCGAGGTTCAGCCGCTCAGCACCGCCGAATGGCGCGACATTCTTATGATCACACACTGGAAGGGCGTTTGGCACGACCATAACCGGGAGAAGTACATCGAGGAGAAGTTGGCAGAGTTGAGGGGCGAGGACTGGGACGAGGCGACAGAAGCTGCGATGCGCAAGGCGTTGAAGGGCGACAAGATCCCGCTCGAGCCGTACAACCACGACGAGTACGACAAATACGGCAGCGTGAAGTTCTTCGGCCGGAAGATGACCGACAACGTCATCGCGTCCCTCGCTCCGGAAGCCGAGCGTTGGAACTTTAGCCGAGGCGACCTGGCGTGTAAGCACCCGGCAACGAAGGAACGCCTCGTCGAAGACCCCGACCTCGTACACAACATACTGGTCTGGTTCGAGCGGCTGGCTCTTATGTTCTGGCTTTCGGACTTGAACTCGGAGGCACTCGCGAGGGACGGGATCCCTGCGTCGGCGATAGGCTGGCGCCACACGCCGGACTTCACAGCGGAGGGAGACCGGGGGCGCCCGACCGTCAAGCTCATCATGCAGGCCGTCCTTCGCCATCAAGTAGTCGATACGAACGGGTGGCCAGCCGGCGGGGAGGAAGCCGACGATACGTTCGAGGCGCCAGAGGATTTCAGACATTTGGCGCAGCTACTTATTGGCGCCGACCATGCCCACTTCGTCGACCAGTACATGGAGCGGGAGTTGGATTGGTACACGGTGCAGGACTGGAAGGATCTGATGCACGAGGGCGGTGAACCTTTCGGCTCAGCGCCCAACGCCGAGTTCGATGCTGTGGAAGAACAGCTACATCTGCGTTACATACTCACGTCCTTCGCCGCTCGGCAGTGGCCAGTGGAGATGACCAGGCTCCCTGGGAACAACCTCGAGCAGTACAAGTGCGTGAATTGCCGCCCTCCGCCGAAATCCTGTGAACGGCGCGATGACGACGTCGATGCCGCGACGGCATTGTCCGTCGCGTTGGGTGCTGTGCTTCCCGCCCCGCATCCGCATCTGGGGGATGCTGCGCCAAAGGATACAGGGATGGACGTCCGGTTCGAATACGAACCCGACTCGTTCTGGCAGAGCTACGACGGCCACCTCTCCGACGAGCCCGCTGAGAACGAAGGGCTCCCGGACTAGGCGTAACATTCGCGCCCGTTCGATTGCGCTCGTCTTGTCATCGCTTTATTTGTTGATCTCGTCCCTCTTCATGATGTTTCTCTCTCTCTCTCGCTGTATACTGCTGCTGTATCTTTATGAGCATATACAATGTACTATATGAATGGACTGCTCTTGACGAACAACTCTTTGCGCGAGAGGATCACTGACTTCACGGTATGGTGAACGCCACGGCACCTTTGTTCACGATAGCTCCAATGTATGTCCTATTGACTACCCTGGTATGACGGCTTTGGCTAATATGTTCACTTAGCTTTCTGTACCAACTTCGCACTCCGCCTCAGCACGCGCGCATACGCTTCCCCATCTCTCCCTCCCCCTCGCCACCGTATCCTTCTGGCGACCTTCAATCCCGCTGAATCGCATCCTTAGCCGGTTGGGTTTTCTCGCACGATGAGCAGGCTACAACCTCACGCTCGAACCCGGTGCATATTCTAAACTTCCATGTTACTCTACATCACTCTTACGCTTCACGTCAGACCGGCCAGGACCCATTGCACGACTATGAACTGTTACGGACACCCGATTATCCATTATCTTTTTCCTTTTCTTTTCCTTTTTCCG